CCTTGGAACATGAATTCCTCTTACCTAGGACATGTTAAGCCATTTTTCTTTTGAGCTGTATGACAAAAAATACACAACACATGAACAAAAACATAACAGAAGCAAGGATGGCTCCTTCATCTTCAATTAGCATATGGAAGGCCATCTCTGGACTCCAGTCTCATGTGATTAGAATGTATTTTGTGAGTGACAGTAATAAACTCCTCAGTAAAACAAACATAGGACTTAATAACATTTCTATCTCTGCTTCCACAGTGTATGCATACTGTGTTAAGTCAGTAGTTCTCAACTGGGTGCACGGGTGTGAGGTGATTTGGGTCCTCTCCTCACGGGCTCATCTGACAATATCTAAAGATGCTTTTTATTGTCATGGCTTAAGAAGTTCTACTAGCATCTAATGCGTAGCTTTGAAACATCCTACATGTTTCAAATAGCCATTCATGGATAGCCATTCAGGATAGCCATTCACTACGAAGAACTATCTGTCTGTCCCTAAATGTCAACAGTATCAAAGTTGGGAACCTTTGGTTTAGATGTCTGACCTACATTTGACAGTTAAGTTTAGTGTTCAGGTATTCTGGTGTATGTAATTGTTTGTGGAACTCTGAATGCTAGGTTTGGTATGGCCTTGCTCAAGCTCTAAAGACAGTTGATCCAGTTTGCCAAGACTGTTTTACTTGAGTTTACTCTTGAATTTTTTTCTCTAGGGAGTGTTGAGTGGCTTCATGTTAAGATTGTTAAAGTGAAGAACTGCGGCATGTGCTTTTCCTGGGAAGAATACAGTTTACATAAGTTACAAATTATTAAAACACATGTCCTTATTCCAATTTTCTAATAATTTGAATCTCACAATTTAGACAACACTTTTACCCTTGGATTTTTATTACTATCTCTCACCTACCTACACATTGCCATTTCTTTTTTTTTTTTTTGGAGAGGTTATTGCTATAGGGTGCGTGCACTCTCCAGACACTCTCCAGACAGACAGAGAGAGACAGAGAGACAGAAAGTGAGAAATCACCCCCCAGAGGGGATGGCCACGCCACAATCCCTTCTCCTCTACTCTCCTCTCGGGATCCTGGGCACGCACGCACACACGCCTGGCATGAGTTTAAGCCACCGGGTCTGGGACACAAACCACGGTCGATTACATGGGAGTCCAGCGACATAGCCATTATGCTAACTGCTGGTCCCCACATTGCCATTTCAACAAATTATCCATTGTTCCTTTCTCAACCTAAAACATGTAAAGCCACTTTTACTCAAAATAAAGCAATTTTGTTCTTCTTGAATTGGTGAAGGGGGAGGGAAGAAAAAAATTGTGCGGTAGAGGGTTTGCCATAGGGTGTACAAGAAAGCACCCTGCCTGAGGGTATCACCATGTCACAAGCCCTTCTCCTCCATTCTCCCCTGGGGATTTTAGTCATAAAAGCCACCAGGTCTGGGACCTGAATCTCAGTCAGCCATGTGGGGTTCCAGTACCTTAGCCACTATGCCACCTGCTGGCCCCATGGGAAGAAAATTTTTAAGAGCAAGAACAAGATCCAGGCTGCATTAAAAAAAATTTTTTTTAAATCAAGATTATTCGGGGCAGTGATAGGACTGAGATATCTGATACTAAGTCCTATAAACCAGGACTACATGCCCCTGGCTCCTGTTCCTAATGCTCCATGAGCCACGCTACTCACCTACATAAAACAAGTCTGGTAACTGAAGCAAAGAAAGAGAAAGAAAGGAAGAGAGAAAAAGAGGAAGGAAGGAAGGAAGGAAGGAAGGAAGGAAGGAAGGAAGGAAGGAAGGAAGGAAGGAAGGAAGGAAAGGAAAGGAAGGAAGAAAAGAAGGAAGAAAGGAAGAAAGAACAAAGAGAAAGAAAGGAAGGAAGTACAGAAGGAGAGAAGGAGGGAGGGAAGGCAGGAGGGAGGGAGGGGGAAGGAGGGAGGAAGAAAGGAAGGAAGGAAGGAAGGAAGGAAGGAAAGAAGGGAGGAACAAAGGAAGGAGAAAGAAAGAAGCATGGGTGGGGCCGGCATGGGGGTTAAGGGCACTGGACTACGACATGGCTGACTGAGATTCGAATCCCGGACCTGGTGGCTTGCTTTCTTACCTTCTCTCTCTCTGTCTGTCTCTATTACTCTGTCCATCTCTGGTCAAATTTAAATAAATGAGGGGACCAGCAGTTAGCGTAATGGCTATGTCACTGGACTCCCACGTAGTCGACCACGGTTCGCATCCCGGACCTGGTGGCTTAAAACTCACGCCAGGAGCATGTGCGTGCGTGCCCAAGATCCCGAGAGGAGAATGGAGGAGAAGGGACTGCAGCATGGCCATCCCCCCTGGGGGGTGATTTCTCGCTTTCTGTCTCTCTGTCTCTCTCTCTCTGACGAACGCATACACCCTACAGCAAAAACCTCTCAAAAAAAATTTTTTTAAATAAATGAATAAAAAATAAAATAAAATAAATAAATTTTTTAAAAAAGAAAGAAAGCAGCATGGGTACACAAGAGAAATTAATAGTTCTGGTAGAAAAGCAGAAGTCAGTGTTCTGACATTCATTATATGCATTGATATTCTCCCTTGGTATATACCTAATTTCATTTGAATCTTTCAAAATGTACTCTTTCTGCTCTGAAGGATAACTTTCCCCAACTGATCTCTGAGCCAGCTGCAAATATGGGCCTCTCTTATTGTCAAATACCTTTAGTATGTCATAAGGTATGGGTTCCATCTTACAAGGAGCACCAAGGCCTTTCTTCTCTTTGTTAAGTTTCTTCAATGGGCATGTTTCTTTTTTGTATTCGATTTTCAGAAAATCTATTAGAAATATCCACTTTGTCCTGAGCATCTGCCCCGATCTTGTTTAATAACACGGGGAGATGTGAATCTTAATTCAGTGCATTTGTCATACTCTGCCCACAAACATTATGTCAAAGACAATGCTGGGGACTCTTGTTCATACCTGTTTTTGTTTCCCTTCATAATCACATTCTTGAAATCACAGCCAAGAGTGTATTCTGGGGCTAAAACTATTTTAAAGACATAATATGGCAGCAGTATTCTGTGAACTAATAAGAGGTTTGGAGCTGCAGCCAAGAACAGTAATAGAATCTTCTTCCCTCTTACTGTCATTTTCATTGTCACCTCAAAAAACGACTGTCTCATTTTCTTTCTTTCTTTCTTTCTTTGGGTTTGGGGCTCAAATTCCCTTGTTGCTATTATATTTTTGCTTTGAATGTCTCTGACAGAGTAAAGTCTACATAATGGGTAAAATATCTTAAACTTAAATATGACCCTATCTAGCTTTGCTTCTTACTGGAGACATACCATAGTCAACAAATGGACTGTCCTGGGCACATTTCCCATCCAGTCTCTGGAGGAAGGCTGCCTGGGGTGGAATCCCAGCTCAGCCATGCATTAGCTGCAGGACAGCAGACACTGGGCCAATCCTTTAATCTCACCCAAATCAGAATGTCTCCTACATAAAACAGGACTTCCACCTGAAAGGGTTGTTGTTGGGACAAAATATGCATGTACAGTGTGTGTCATTATGCTTGGTGCACAAGAAGCACTCTTAAGATTCTATATTTGGGGGAGCCGGCAGGTGGCATGGTGGTTAAGGTACTGGACACTCCCACATGGCTGACCATGGTTCAAGTCCTGGACCTGGTAGCTTGCTTTCTCACTTCCCCTCTTTCTGTTTCTCTTTGCCAAATTAAAAATGAATGAATAAGTGAAAATTTTTTAAAAAGCTTCTATAATTGGGAAAAGCCTAGAAAATAAATTTTTAAAAACTGTTTCAAGAGAACAATTTCACAGTAAATAGTACAGGATTTTGTAAGTTAAATTTTTTTGAGAGAAAGATTCTTGCTATAAGGTGCATGCACTTGCCAGAGACAGAAAGGGAGAAATCACCCCCACAGGGAGGATGGTCCCACCACAGTCCCTTCTCCATTCTCCTCTCCAGGACTTTGGGCATGCACACCCACATATTTCAAGCTGCCAGGTCTAGGACTAGAACTGCAGTCCACCATGTGGGAGTTCAGCTCCTTAACCCCCTGCCACCTACTGGCCCATAAGTTAAACTTTTTAATAGTAAGTGCTGGACTCCCATGTGGTCAACAGCAGTCCCAGTCCTAGTCCTAGTGGCTTGCTTTCTTGCTTCCCCTCTCTGTGTCTTTCTCTCTGTGGTCAAATTAAAAATTAATAATAAATAAAATTAAATAATTATTTCCTTAAAGAAAGAAATTAAATTGGGAACCAGCAGTTAGCGTAATGGCTATGTCACTGGACTCCCACGTAGTCGACCACAGTTCGCGTCCCGGACCCGGTGGCTTAAAACTCACGCTGGGCGTGTGTGCGTGCGTGCCCAAGATCCCGAGAGGAGAATGGAGGAGAAGGGATTGCAGTGTGACCATCCCCCATGGGGGGTGATTTCTCGCTTTCTGTCTCTCTCTGTCTGTCTGGCGAGTGCACGCGCCCTATAGTAAAAAAACTTCTAAAAAAAAAAGGAAAAAAATAAATTAAATTCACTTTCACTATAGTTAGTTCATTACAGTATTAATAATGCTAAACAGCAACAGAAAGATTGAGTTTTTCATATGACACACTTACTCTTTTATTTCAATACTAAATCATACAAAGCCTTTGGGGGTGGGGAGGCTCTTAGTGATATATTACTCAGGTTCCCAGCTAATGTTATTTCGACCAGTTCTTTTGAACTTCTCAACTTCTCCTATTTTGGAAATGAATATACTTCCTTGACAGAAAATTCAAAAATTCATATTCAAAAGTTGGACAAAATCCAGAGAAATAGAATAAAACCACAATGTTTTATAAGAACACATCACATGCACTGAAATACTTTATCTACACATACATACCTATATATAGATACAGCATTTCAGATGTAGACATATATCATAGACATCTTAAATATCTAGATATGTAACGCGGCTTCAAGTTACGTCTACCCAGGAGGACTACTACTGTGGCTCTAGTTCACCTACTTCCATCTTAATGTCGTAGTTCTGGCCGAGGACGCTCTGTATGAGCTCTTTGATGATCTGGTCTGAGGCCTGCTGGGCCTCGGACTGCAGCGAGGCGATGATCTCCTCGATGGACTTGGGGACCAGCCTGGAGGGCAGCTGGGCCGGCCGGGCGCCCTCGTGGCCGTCGCTGGGCGAGCCGCCCTCCTGCTCCGCCCTGGACACGGAGCTGGCCCTTTCCCGCGCTTCGTTGGCCGAGCGGTGGCGCCCGAAGATGCTGGGAATCCTCACGCGCTTCCGCCTCCAGCTGGTGGGCTCCACGTCGCTGTCCCCTTTCGAGTCTGCAGGGCTCCTCTCTTTGGCCTGGCGGGCCTCTGCGAGCCGAGGGGTCTCTCGGCCCCGCCGGCGCCCCCCGGCCACGCGTTGCGCTG